CAAACGCTTGACCATTTGGAAGACAACATTCGCCGTCTTATTGCCGATATACGGCCACAAATGTTGGAAAAAGTCATCGAAAATTGGACGTCTCCAGATTGGACTACATCCGAGCCAGCCGTGGCAGTCCTATGCCAGAAATCGTATTTAAAATGTAATCCCACAAGATTATCTTTCGAATAAAAAAAAATTTGTCAATCGAATAACACTTAGTTGTTTTATTGCAATTTAAAGTTCTATACCTCTAAAAAACACCCTTTATATATATATTTTTAGTATTGATCTTACAGCATTAAGTGCACCTTTTTTAGTTTCGTTCGAAGCACAACGTACATATTTCCATATTGATTGATTTATTCTGAACTTACTTTCCAGGTAACTCGAGGATTACTGTAATACATTTTTCGAAAAGTGTGCATGACATGAAAAAATAATGTAAAGAATGTATTGCAATGGATAAATACCAGATTATTTATAATTTAAAATATCTATTAAAAAACTAGAATAATAAGAGATACACGTAAATTTAAATCGTAACTGAACATTAAATACCCCTTGGGCATTAAACATTAAATACCCTTTTCCTCAACTGAACATTAAATACCCCTTTACCTCAATAATTATTAATATGTCACGTGTAATATTCTTCATTTCACTGCTAGAAAATAAGATTGAAATTATTGAATATCCTCTAGAGCACTAAATGCAAATGAGTTATCTACATTGGATGAATATGATAAAAATTTCCTGCAATATTATATTATTTATTATAATAAATAAGTTTGCATTATTACATCAATTATGAAAACAAAACGACTCTCAACTTGTATTCAAGAAGTATATCAAAATATATAACTGAAAAACTTTATACCAAACATGACGCTTTCGCATGCTCCTAAAAAGTCCCCAGGGCCTACAATTTAAAAATATTCATATTTATCTTATCTAAATATAAAACACTTTTACCCCTATAACACTTTAATGAATATTTAAGATGGTTACAGGAAATAAAATATTTGTCCATTTTGCTTTGAATATTAATTAAAACAAATTTTGTAATAATGCTCCTGAGATTTCATAAATTTTATAGCATTCCTATTAGAAGAATGTTTTGAAAATTAAATGTCGCGTGTAATTTCTTAATTATTTATTCTTCATGAGTAAAAATTTGTAAAACTCTTGAAAGTAATTATTTGATGCGGTGAAATATATTTAGTATTTTTATGTCGTTGCTTGACTTTCGAATAGAAGAAAAATCCACATTTTTTTAAAATTAAATAGCTAATTAACGACTATAATAGCTATTAATAGCTAATTAAGGTTCTTTTGGAACAAATCGAAATTTACTCTGAAACTGCCTTGTAAATGCATCAGATTTACTTTGAACAGGAAACAATTAATATGAACCCATTAATATATAGTAACATAGAGGTTCAAAGTTCTCATATTTATAGAGCATAATAATATAAATCCGTAGTCACCATGTCTCTGGAAGTAAATGAAATGCACAGTCACTGTCGAGCTTTGACATTAAAATGTTACTTCACTACGTCGTTCTTTTATAAGTCGAAAATAATATTTTTGAGCTTTTTAAGCTGTCTTTTTCCAAGAACTACTTTGATATTTTCTAGATTTAACTAGAGCATTATTTTTACACTATTTTTAGTCACCAAGCGAGATGATTTCGCGACATGTGATGACTAAATTCTACGCTAAGGTCATTAACATAAAACTTTTATAACAGTTTTTTGTCTTTTCCTGTGAGCAATATTTTCAGCTCTTTCTGCACGTAAGAACAGAAAATCCAAATTTTTCATAACAATATATATTTTGCGTAACAAATATTATTCAAATCAATAATATACTTTACTCCCTAACATATAGTATAACTTTGGATATTAATTTTAGAGGAATATATTATCGGACATGTACCATTTTGCTCTTAAAAATATTTAAAAATCCTTAATAACCCAATCTCTTATTAGTTTTGCTCTTAAACCGCTAGCACAGTGATTGCAATTACTTAAAGTGCCTGTTCTTAAATAGATCTGTTTAAAACCGAATGAGAAAATGTATTTCTCTTTTGAAGAAGATATAAAGAATTTAAATCGTATTTCTTCCCTTTATGGCTCTTTTGTTCTAAGATTTATGAACGTTTCATTTACAGCAAATTAATATAATTTGCTAAGAATAAAAGACTCCATTTTGTTTTAAGACAATTTTATTTTTTTGAATACCTCTTTCTTCTCTATGCTTTATTCTTCATCTAGCTAAAGTCAATGTGCTTCAGAATGGTGTGATTTACTATTTCAAGCAAAGAAATATATATTATGTTTTTTAAATATAAATATAAACCAGTATGATATATAAAGATAAAAACAGTATTAATTTTTGCATAATTCATTGTACGAATGAAAAGTTTTTATTTTTTTTTGTAATGACAGTTGTAAGCAAACCCACTGGAAAAATAAATAATATAAAGTAATAATAAAATATTATGCATTTGTGTGTATTTGCTGCGTTTGTAAGTAAGAAATACTTGGCAATTATTTGTCATAAGCATTGTTTATTTAAATAATTTCTATTCATAATTTTTTTTGTGGTTGATCGAATTAAAGTCCTACGAATAGCATCAACTTCAACAATTAATAAAATTTGCAAAACTTTATTGTTTAGACCTTTTTAAAATCAAAGAAAAAAGGATAAAGTAACTAATAAAAAAAACCTCGGCTTGACTAGCTCCATCATTATCCAGATTATATATATACGTACATATATATATATATATATATATATATATATATATATATATATATTGGCAGAGAATATTGGCAGAGAGTATTGGCAGAGTGGTATATTTTTGTCGAGTCTGAGCAGGTTTTCATTAAACACATCTTCAGTGGACGTTCATCTTCTTTATTTTGAAGCACACATCAAAAGCTTAGGACAAAATGCTGTACATTTTCACGTTGACGAGACACACAAACTTGCGACGATATTAAAGCAAAGTGGAAAGGAGACAAACAATAGCAACATCTTGGAGGACACAACACAAAGACACAAAGAGCAGCTATTTACATTCTTACATGATGACGGCAGAGGAAGAGAGCGGGATTACACAAGAAGTTTCGTTTTATACCAACAATGATTACGTAATCGTAGTTCTGATTGGTTAGAATGGGCGGGACAGGGATTTGTGATGGAATAATATTCGTCGATTACGATTAGGATCAGGGTGTTAGTTTGGAACTAAATAATTAAAAAAAATTATTTCAATATTATTAAAAGAGTTAATTAAAAGGATGCTAGAGGGAATTATATATATATATATATATATATATATATATATATATATATATATATATATTTAATAATGATTATAAATTTGTTGGAATGCATATAAACTTTTGGTGAGAATTACTTTCAGTAAAAATACAGAAACTTAACATAGAGATTTCATCACAAATAAGATACATACATAAGTTAAATATTGGTGGTGGTGTTTCTTGCCCCACTTGACCGACAGAAACATCTAGATCAAGTCCATGAACCCGTGAAATTTTTAAACAATGAAAAACTGTAGCAGGACTTCAGAGCAGCTGGCTCTTATGGCAACTAATACAAGCCAAGATGTAGGTAGGAGTGGCTTGGGTCACAATGGAATTCAGACAAGGAAGGTAAACTTTGAGATCAGCCGCATGCCGTTGAGCTCGATTATATCCAATGCGAAGATTAGCAAGAATAGTTTCATCTCGCCTACTTCTTGTCCCAAGCAAAGCAGCACTAGGAAGGTTTCTTTCATACCACTCATGTACGGAGTCTGCCTACAAGAGGAACTGATATTTTGTTTGACCCTGATAGCAAATAAATATCTGTAATTGTAACTATATAGTAAAAGAGGTTAAAGTAAGAACTTGAAAAAAATAAAAAAATTGTTTTATATTTTTTCAATGTTAAGTTGTTACCCGATATCTTGGTAAATTTCTTTTCAGTTTTCAAAAACAATTTTAGTGTTTTCTTAAGTAGTTACGGCAGTAATTAAGTCATGTTTATTGTTTCTTTCGTTACAGTTACCATGATTAAAACATGTGCCGATTCAACATACGGTTGCTGTCCTGATGACAAAACAGCAGCCTTAGGTCCCAGCAATGCAGGATGTCCAAGTAAGTACATATTCCATGACTGTATTATCAAACAATTAATTATAAAGTTAAGGATATATATATATATATATATATATATATATATATATATAACAAGTGTGGGTGGGTGTGGGTGTGCGTGCGCGCGCGTGTGTGTGTGCGAGCGTGTGTGTGTGCGCGAGCGTGTGTGTGCGCGAGCGTGTGTGTGTGCGAGCGTGTGTGTGTGTACGAGCGTGTGTGTGTGCGAGCGTGTGTGCGAGCGTGTGTGTGTGCGCGAGCGTGTGTGTATGCGCGAGCGTGTGTGTGTGTGCGAGCGTGTGTATGTGTACGAGCATGTGTGTGTGTGTGTGCGAGCACGTGTGTGTGTACGAGCGTGTGTGTGTGTACGAGCGTGTGTGTGTACGAGCGTGTGTGTGCGAGCGCGTGTGTGTGTACGAGCGTGTGTGTGTGTACGAGCGTGTGTGTGTGTACGAGCGTGTGTGTGTGTGCGAGCGTGTGTGTGTGTATAAAAATGCAGTTATTATGTAAATATAAAACATTTTCGAAAGTTGAACTTACCCATAAACCCAAGCTAGTAAAATAACAAGTAATATAAAAGAGAAAATTGATCATTTCCTACTTAGGTCAATAAAGAGGAATATTATTTCAGTTACTTTTTTATTAAATAATTACAATTAACATATATATATATGACAGAATCACAATATTGGCAAAATAGAAATCGATTTTCTTTGCAATTTTCCATTATCCTTCCTATTTTGGATGTTGGACTATTTTTTGTTACTATTTATTCATTAAGTAAAATTAATTATTCCAATAAAATTGTATAGTAAAAAAATCACGTTCTTAGAAATTAGGTCATCTGAGTTGGGATTCAAACCCACGACTTTTGGATTAGAACTCCAACACGCTACCCATTGCTCTACACAGAGATTTTGTTCGACTGTTATTTTTGTTTGTTACAATTTATTCATTAATTATTCAAAAGTTAATGAATTAGTATTTGAAAAACTGCATTAACATCAAGTGTCACTCACTAAAAGTTTTTAAAAAATGTATTCGAAAGAGTGGATGAATAGAAAGTATTTTATTAACAATTGAAAATTTAAACAATATATATATATATATATATATATATAATATATATATATATATATATATATATATATATATATATATGTAGTATCGTTGACTGGTGTTGGTCTGTTTGGTTTGTTAGCATATTTAATTTCAGGAAAAACATCTTCATAATTAAATTTCATTTTGTTAATTTACACGGACATAACGTAGGTGTGAACAATTCACAGTTGTATTTCACAGATATTTGGTAAGAACACGAAAGCAGACACATATAACAGAAGCGACAAGCAGCAGCGACATTTCACATGACGAACACAAAGAGAGAGACCAGAAAAGAGTTTTGCTTTTTATACCCAGCAGTGAAGACCGCGTGAGTATTTTGTAATAAGAGCTATGATATTGGTTAAAATGTGCGGAAAAGGGGTTTCTGATACTAGCTGATTACGATTAAGATTACGGCGTTAGTTTTGAACCAAAGAATTAAAGCTTGTTTAAATATTATTAAAATAGTTAATTAAAAGGATGCTAGAGGGAATTAATGTATATATATATATAGAGAGAGAGAGGAAGAGAGTGTAATAATAATAGGAATTGAAAAAAATAAAATAAAAATTCACAGGCTTACTGAAAACATGTTTTGAAACCTTTTTTTACATACGAAAACATTGTACCGTAAGTAATAATTGCAACTTATTTTAGTTTCTACTTTATTAAGACGTTTATAAATCAGTTCAAAATACCATAAACACGTTATTGTTGTCTAATTTCAGTTTATTTAAATTGTCCTTGTTATTATAAAATTTAAACAAAATAATTTAGTGTAATGGTGCGTTAATGCCTTAAAAAAATTCGATCTAATTCCGTGTTCCTTTTTGTGAACTCGAATTCAATCAAAAAGAGAAAAATTCAAACTCGAATTCTCCTTGCATTTTGCCATGAATCTGAAAATAAAGAGTAATTTCCGAATCACTTTTTTATCTTTTCAATTTGTGTTTTTTTCCAAATCAATTTCTTTGCTAAGGAAATTTTCGTTTTATTTATTGCAGCCTTACGCTTCATAAAAAAAGTATTTCCTTCAATCTGGTTTTATGCAGAATACGAAGTAAAAAAAGGAGTTCGTGCACAACAATACATTTAGTTTACTGATTTGTGAAAAACGTATATGGAATACAGACAAACTGCTACAGTATGTTAGGTTATTAGTTTCCGTAACTGATTTTCGCAGCAGTTCTTATATGCACTAGTATGCTTTCCTAATTAGAATCTAACTAGAATATAGAAGTTAATTACTATTTTTGACAACTGAGCACTTTTTTCAAAATCATTGAAGTCTTTTTTCCCAGTTAATTTGACAGTGGAAACTAAAAACAGCGTATTCTAAAAATACTTATTTAATCACTAAATGAAAAACAAAAATCTTCAAATTCTAGAGATTTTGATTAAAAAAAGTGTATTTCAAGACAAACCATTGAAACTACGTGGGTGGTTCTGAAATTAACTTCACTTACGAAATATTCATATGTACATTATCAAATTATCAAAAATAATTCAGAAATGGGATATTGGAAAGAGAAACGTAATTAAAATTCTAAAATGGATTATGAATAATTTTTCAAAAGTTGTAGTACCTCAAAATTATTCCCTGGCTCCTAATTTAATTTTTTTTTCTGTTTTGTTTTGTTTAATCATAATGTGAGCAACATATAAATCACTGTATGAAATTACTACATCTATTATTCAGCTAAGGAAAGTATTTAGGCGGAATTAATATTAGAAATCTATTTTCCTAGAAAAACAGATAAAAATCTTCTCATTCAAAATAAATACCAGTAAGAAGTGATTTTTCAAATTTTGAGATATGATGCATAAATTGTAACATTTTACATCGTTTATTTGGGCAAAAACCCCTTTCGTACACAACTACGAATGTAAAATGCGATGGCGTAATGGAGTATACTCTCCCGCAAAATAATGTTTTATTTTTAATAATTAATAAATTGGTTAAATACGTACTTGCCGTCAGTCAGGCTTCGGGCTATTATCTTATTGGTAGATAGATAGATATTACATTTTACCATACGCCACTGGTAAAACGTAATATCTATCCATCTATCTACCTGACAATTTCCTAATATTAATTACAGCACGCTTTTAAGTGTTTAAAAGTATCGAAAAATACCAAACAACACAGCAAAATCTTGTATGTTAAAGGTGTTAACTTTTTTTGAATTAGTTATGAATATGTCTATATATTACTGACCGATTTTTATTTTTTTTCAAAGTATTAAAATTTGCATCAATAATATTATAAAGAATTACCATTAATGTTTTTATCGACTTGATTTTAACATTTTGGTTTTAGAGAGTGATAGTGTGTTTACACACACACACACACATTATCTTTCTTTAAGAAATTCAAAGTAAAGTAAATGGTATTGGCAATAGCAAAATCATATGACTCTGTTAAATATTTTATAAAAATATATCCATATTTTGTAATTATGACTGTGTCCAAAATTTTCCCTAGTTTTCCACTAAAATTATTCACTTTCCTCTCGTCGTCCATATCTTTTTCATTTTTTTTCTTAAAACTTGTACACATACATTTTTAAAGCCTATTTTATTATTTTTTTCAAGTATCAATCTGTGAAATTAAAAAAAAAATTAAAGGTCTTTATTAAACCTAGTGGCAGACCTCATGTACTGTCTAAAGTTGCAGTTAAAGATTACATTTATTTTTATAATTATTGAAAATTTTGTAGAGGCATAATGATTTTTTTGTATTTTTTTAAATCCTCATAAAAATGTATGCATATAGAAATATCTCACCCATTTTTGGCACAAAATCGCTCGCCAAATACTTTTTACTACTTCTACATAAAAATTAAACTAAGATTCAGCAATAATTAATCTCGTGTTATTTGCAAAGGAATCTTCCTTATGCAAACATACTAAGTCAGATTTTCTGTAACCCAAAGAGTTTTAAAACTTTAAAGTATGCCAAATAAGAAGCGAATAAATCAGCGGCCATAATCTTACATAAGATGTAATATTCATTCGATTCCTTGTAATATTTCATTCAGAGCAAATATGCATGGTCTGACATTTAAATCAATATTTCAGACAGTGAAGAATTTGGCATGGAATTACATGCTTTAGGATTGGCAGAGCGCCAAGAGAACCGGAATTAATATCTTTTGAAGATTCCTATGAAGAATATTTATGCCAAATGCTGTTAGTACTTTTTACTTGGATTCATCTGATGTTAGAGGAAAAGGAAAGGAACGTTGCTAATTTATAATCTTCCCTTCTTATAAGCAATAAATTGAGAAGAAAAGAATACAATAATTTTTAATCTTTGACAGTGATTGATTAAGTGTTTTATGTAATTTATCATTTCTCTTATTTTTAGGGATGGAAATAGAAAGTATTTTATTTTGAAAAGGGAACTCCTAGATATTATCTGAAAGATTTGGGAAAAATGATATAATATCTAATAAAACTTTTTTTTGTTACTCGCTTGCCATTTCTTTAACCATAAAAAAGGCATAACATTTATTATTATATTTAAATCTAAGATGTCTAGAATATATACCCTTCTAAATATTATAGATTTATACGTTAAATGCATTCAAAAAAGAATATTTAGTAAATGTATGGGGCTATTTAATTTTGATTCTTTGAAGTTTGTATTCTTTTTACATCTAACATTTCTCTTTTTTTTTTCGTGCTGTAAAATTTCCTTTAAATATATTTTAAGTTTCCCGTCTTTTTACGTTATGGTTCAACTTCTCTACGATAACCACCTTTGAAGCCTATTGTAATTGTAATTGTAATCGGGGTTCTAGAATTTTATGCAATTCAGTCGCAAAGAGCAACACAGTTCTTCAGGAGCGCGCGATGGGAATTTATTGTCGACAAACAATCCTTGAAATAACAGAATACAGTGCTCAAATTCCCAAAGTAAATCTTAAAACGTCTTCTCCTTTTCTACAGCGCCCAGACACAACTATCAGTGTCTAATATACACACACAAGTGGGTAAAATATTTTTTACCAAGAACTCGTTTGTCCTACACAACAGCCGCAGTAAAAATTAATAGCTGGTCGACTCTAATACTTCTCTTCAACGGTCAAAACAAGACTAAGTAAGACTTGGCGAGCGACTTCCCATTCATAAGTTTCAATGATCTTTCGAGAAAAATCCGCTTGCGTCCTAGGTCATGACATTAGTAGATATATCCACTAATTTCCAGAAGATAAGGTCACGAATTTGCCAAAAATGGTCACCAAAATGATATCCATGTCTTTAAGATGGTCACCAAAAAATAATGCCAACTTGGCTTTATCGCCAAGATTTCACCAAGTGTCCATTGAATTCCCATTATATTGCACGGAACGGCATTTCTTGTGAATTTTAAAATTTTAACATAAAATAAATATAACATAAAGTAATGCAAATGTATTATACATCCAGATACAAATTATTTACACTATTTTAAAACATTCGTTAGAGAACATTTGTAACATTATATTTTATCCACTAAATTTCACTACAAATTTATTGTTCCTTTAAACAAATTTGTTGTTACTTGACATGTTCAACTCTGTCAAAAAAACTAACAGAAATCCAGGTCTTTCACGGAACTTTGCATACATCGTAATAAGTTATTTTCTCTTATTTTACTTTTAGAATTGTGCCTAATTGTCCCTAGACACCAAAAATGTTAGACAGTTCTCACAGTCCTATTGTCTAAGATGGGTTGAATAGTCTTTGATTTTTGATGTAACCGTTTTCATTCTAGATATGTCCACCAATAAAAATATTATACAGCCTTAAAAATTGAAAGCAT